ATCTAGTGTCCCATCTCAGGCATGAATGAATTAAAGCAATGCAAAATAGCTCCTGAGGTGCCGTTTTCCAACCACACATTTCATAATTCACCTCTTCTGCAAAGGTTCAAAGCTAACAGTTCACATCCTCAACATTGATGCCTAACACGAAAGTTAACAGAAGAGGTCAAAGTCAGATTACTTTTACAATTTCCTGCAGACAAAGATAAAAGTTGCTGCCTGCTATTATTTTATGATCTACCTCAGGTGATAATTTGAAGTATACACATCAAAGACACGATCTCGTTAATCATTCCTTCAAATATGGAAATAATTAGCAGCTGTGCTATTTCAGCTTCCAGAAGTTTCAGTTTGAAAGGGACCATTACCAGAAACGCACATCATCCCCCTACAATAGTGCTCTTCTCTCATCTGTCATGCTATTCAAAGCAACTTACCAAAAAAGAAAAAGTGTCACAACCACCACATAAAGGATTATGTACTAAAGACCATCCAAAAATCATGTTTTTTCCAAGGCAGGGGGAGCAACAACTGTTTTCTGTAAACAAAGAGTTTTAGGACAAGCTGCCTAGGGATGAAATCTGTGCTTCACATACTCATCTCTGAAATTATCATGACCTACTAATCCTAGATAGACACACACATCTGTTCCTAGCTATTTATTTCACTAAAGAGCTTAAACCAACTCAAAAAAGCCCCCATATATCCTGGAATATTTAGTAATTTAGAGCTATATGAAGAGCTTCACCCAAATAGAATTGGGCCTCGGTGCTACTTGCCTGTTACCAAAACGAGGATGGAAGAAGATAGAGCAAGCATGCCATAAAATGTTTTTTAAGAAAAGAGTTAAGCCACACAAGAAAGATACTTTCAGAGAAAAGTGGTAATTTTAAGTTCAGCTCTACACTCCGATGCTTTCTTTCTTACTTTCTGCCCTGGGATTTTTAATAAGGCAAAGTTTGCATAAGGCTACTGTGCTCTAATGGAATAAATTGCCCAATAGACAAATCTTTGTTTCAGTTAAAACTACAGTTGAAATAGTATTTCAGTTCTACTGTCTCCATAGTTCCTTGTTTATCTCTGTTAAGACAAGTATTTTGCTTACTAAAGGAAAAATAATGTCATAAAGAACTGTTGTCAGGCAACTAAAATAAAACTTTTCAGATCCTACACATTAAAAAGTGTAGCTGAAAGAAAAAGTTAGAAGAAAGCATATTTTAACAACAAAAAGCAGAGGAGGAACCCGAGGAAAACTAATCTGCCTACTAAAAAACAGACAGAGAGGTGTGAAATTTCCATTGTAAAAAATTACTCAAATATTTTGAAAGATTATCTCTAACTCCATACTCTTATTATCTCATAGTTACATTTTAATACTGTACCTTATTGCCAACAAGCAAGTACAAACATTTAAAGCAAGACAGCAGGATGTATACACTTGGCTTTGAAACACAATGCCCATTTCTAAAAGACCACAAGTTTGAACAATTTTTTTCAGGAAGAGCATACTTTGAGAAAGGAAATTCAGATTCCCAGGTAAAGACAGAAGAAAAATCAGAGGGTTCCCAGAAAGACAAGATGTTCTTCTTGGGAAGAAAGGGAAATCTCCATTGGTTTGGGGGAGAAAATGGATGAGAGACAGGAAAGGTAACTAAAACTGTATCTGCCTAAGTGTGCTTGTGTATCAAGGAAACTACTGCCACTCATAATAGTAAAAAAACAGTTGAAGGTATGAAGTCCAACAACCAACTTACAAAGTTTTTGCCAGCACCGGAGATTATAGCTGATACCAGCTAATGAAAACCATTCCCTTCTGAACTCTGTCTCCTATTATTTCAGTCGGCAAACATTTTCCTGTGCCTTTCAGCCTCATATTGTTCAGTTCTACTATGTTCTGGTTCTCCTCCTTCGTTAGTTTAGAAAGCTAGAAGTCATATGTCTGTGGGGAACGGCAGGCCTGCTGCTTATAAAAAGACAGAACACTTGTATTTAATAACAATTGCTATTTTGTAGTTGTGTTTTTAAGGTGCGGATGCTGTGTGGTCTAGCGGTTAGAAGATGCAGTCAGAACCCTGTTCTAATTTACAGTTATAATTTTTTCCTTTAACTCTAGTATGATAGTGAAAATTGGACAAATGACAGCACTGTCTGGGATTCCAGTTTTTTTTCACCACTTGTAAAACTAGCATTACTTGCCCATCTAAAATCCTTCAGAACTATCCTTAATAAAACCTAGAGACTGATTAACTGCATGCATCTGAACTTATATTTAATTCAAGAAATCCTTACAGAATAGGCAAAGCTAGTAAAATTTGATTTTCCTAACCTTGGATATTCTTCGAAAAGCAAATTTTATAATGGTACCTAATTTTACTTTAGAAAATTCTGTCAGGACCTTTAAAATTATAACTGAGAGAACAAAGCAAATAAAGAACACAGTCCTGAATTCCACTCCCCACACCCTATAGTCTCTTGGCTTCAGCTGAATTAAGAAAAGCAGCCCTGGAAACCAAATTTGCTTTAGAAGGCTACTTATTCTTATTCCAAAGTGCAGTACAAACTTGTACTTCCATCCAGCCAGAAAAGGGAAATTTCCATATAAAAAGATAAAATGTAAAAAGGGAAAGGTAAGACTACACCGAATATTAAAATAATGCATATAGTAGAGAAAGACCAACTGAATCACCCTAATAAGTGAAATCATTTTTGCAATGACATGGCTGCTCTGAAAGAAAAATCCAGTTGAGCTATATAAAAACAAGCTACACAAAGAAAACCAAAAATCCATTTGACATCTCTAACCCTGCCAAGGCATCAATCCAAGTACAAGCAGCAACTACTCAGCAATTCAGAGCCAGTTTATACAGACATTTTATGGTGGGTATGCATAGAAGAACAGATTTCATTTTTCATCATGACAAATTAAACTATTTATCCTGAGTAAAAAATAGAAATCAACAGTTTATCACTGAAGAAAATTTAAGGATCTTCACAACGCATTAGAAAGTCCAATAGACATCTCAACAGATTACATACAACACCTGCCACTAAGAAGGGACCCAAACTATGTGTTTGTACTAATGCAAGTTTCTTCCGAT